ACAAGTATTGATAAAATGCAGGGTAAACTTTCTTGGCTTTCTGTACAAGCTAAATTATACTATGGCTTACTTGTATTTTTATATCCAGATGAAATACATAATCATGCCACACGATTCTCAACTAACCACAATTTAGTAACTCCTCGAGTTAAAAGTAACTTTTTGAAAAACTCTGTTATATTTAGAGCATCTTTTCAGTGGAATAAGTTGCCTTATGCAATTAGAGAATTGGCTTCTATTCATCATTTTAAAAATCACCTAAAAGCCTATTTAGGCAGTTTTTAATTTATTTGTAAAAATTGTAGAGGGTAATGTCACTTGTAATGGAAATTGTGTATTTTGTTTGAGTGTTTTTTTTATAATTTTTTAATATTTACATGTTTACATTTTCAGAATTGTAAAACCTTATTGTGGATGTAAGAGCCAAATTATGTGGACATTTTTGCATCCAACTCATTGTGTAACATTTTATTTGGTGGTATTTGATGGTTTGGGCCCCAGGAAGACTAGCAACCACTGTTGTGGAAGCTAATGGGGTTCCTTATAAATAAACAAATAAATAAACAAATAAAAATCAATGTTCCACCTTCACATTTGCAAATTATTCTGAAAACAAAAAAGCAACACAAGGCAACGTCAAAACTGCTACCATACAACCTGGCCCACAAACAAGCCAACAGCCTCACCCTCACTAAAGCCAGTTTTCTTACCACCACAAATTAAGTGGAATGTAAAAGTGAATGTTGGCAGTTATGGTAATGCATGGCAAACCAGTTTTTAGTACAGGAGGTTTCTGATAGCATAGCTGATATACAGAAGGGATCAAGCCATGTCAGCTGCAGGATAGTAAGTCTATCCTTGCAAATGGGTTCAACAGGAAAAAACAAAACAATAACCTAAGAACAGCAAGTGAAAATCTACTGTGCCTAAATGAGCACCAGATCTCATCAAAAGTGCCCAACACCAAATAATGTGCCGCTACACACCCACATACAGGGAGTGCAGAATTATTAGGCAAATGAGTATTTTGTCCACATCATCCTCTTCATGCATGTTGTCTTACTCCAAGCTGTATAGGCTCGAAAGCCTACTACCAATTAAGCATATTAGGTGATGTGCATCTCTGTAATGAGAAGGGGTGTGGTCTAATGACATCAACACCCTATATCAGGTGTGCATAATTATTAGGCAACATCCTTTCCTTTGGAAAAATGGGTCAAAAGAAGGACTTGACAGGCTCAGAAAAATCAAAAATAGTGAGATATCTTGCAGAGGGATGCAGCAGTCTCAAAATTGCAAAGCTTCTGAAGCGTGATCATCGAACAATCAAGCGTTTCATTCAAAATAGTCAACAGGGTCGCAAGAAGCGTGTGGAAAAACCAAGGCACAAAATAACTGCCCATGAACTGAGAAAAGTCAAGCGTGCAGCTGTCAAGATGCCACTTGCCACCAGTTTGGCCATATTTCAGAGCTGCAACATCACTGGAGTGCCCAAAAGCACAAGGTGTGCAATACTCAGAGACATGGCCAAGGTAAGAAAGGCTGAAAGACGACCACCACTGAACAAGACACACAAGCTGAAACGTCAAGACTGGGCCAAGAAATATCTCAAGACTGGTTTTTCTAAGGTTTTATGGACTGATGAAATGAGAGTGAGTCTTGATGGGCCAGATGGATGGGCCCGTGGCTGGATTGGTAAAGGGCAGAGCGTCTGACTCAGACGCCAGCAAGGTGGAGGTGGAGTACTGGTTTGGGCTGGTATCATCAGAGATGAGCTTGTGGGGCCTTTTCGGGTTGAGGATGGAGTCAAGCTCAACTCCCAGTCCTACTGCCAGTTTCTGGATGACACCTTCTTCAAGCAGTGGTACAGGAAGAAGTCTGCATCCTTCAAGAAAAACATGATTTTCATGCAGGACAATGCTCCATCACACGCGTCCAAGTACTCCACAGCGTGGCTGGCAAGAAAGGGTATAAAAGAAGAAAAACTAATGACATGGCCACCTTGTTCACCTGATCTGAACCCCATTGGGAACCTGTGGTCCATCATCAAATGTGAGATTTACAAGGAGGGAAAACAGTACACCTCTCTGAACAGTGTCTGGGAGGCTGTGGTTGGTGCTGCACGCAGTGTTGATGGTGAACAGATCAAAACACTGACAGAATCCATGGATGGCAGGCTTTTGAGTGTCCTTGCAAAGAAAGGTGGCTATATTGGTCGCTGATTTGTTTTTGAATGTCAGAAATGTATATTTGTGAATGTGGAGATGTTATATTGGTTTCACTGGTAAAAATAAATAATTGAAATGGGTATATATTTGTTTTTTGTTAAGTTGCCTAATAATTATGCACAGTAATAGTCACCTGCACACACAGATATCCCCCTAAAATAGCTAAAACTAAAAACGACTTCCAAAAACATTCAGCTTTGATATTAATGAGTTTTTTGGGTTCATTGAGAACATGGTTGTTGTTCAATAATAAAATTATTCCTCAAAAATACAACTTGCCTAATAATTCTGCACTCCCTGTACACTGCTTTGCTAAAATGCCAGTATGAGCATCAGTAACATACCAAAACAACAATGCCTACATCAACCAAAATTTCCAAGACGCCAACAAAGAGGGAACGTAGCTACAAAGCTCACAGTAAGTCACAGCAGTTAATGGTCTACAGAGCTACCAGACCCAACTACCAAGCTAAATTTTCATAACACTATTTTAGTTAAACTTTGCAACTCCTGCTTTTCATACATTCAACAGTTACACTCTGCCACACCACAAGACTCGCCCAGCCATGTGTCCAGTCAGGCCACAAACCAACAAGACTAATATACCAGTGAAACACCAGCCACGGAGTTTATGCTTCCCAGCCCTAGTTATTTAGTACAAGATGATTTTAACCCTAGTCTTCAGACAGATACCTGTGGTGGGTATGTAACAAGTGCCACCTGGCAGTTTGATGCTCTCTGCCAGGTGATTGGCTGTTCACCTGTTTGTCCATGATTTGGACAGGGGGAACAGACTGTGGCAAGGTCAGCCTGATGGAATCGGTTCACCTCCAAATAGGGGAAAGCTGTGAGCTGACCCTGTGCAAGACTGGGGCAGAAAGACTTAAAAAGGTAAAGATCAAGAGCAGTAACTAATCATAATCTTAAAGATGTGTAAATAATTCTGGCAGTGTGGAAAGAAATAAGAAACCTGATGTCAGTAAACAGCATTTATAGATGAGAACATGAATATGTTGAGTCTAGTGTGGATGCTTGAAGGTGTAAATGTGAAACACAAACATGGAGTTAAGCCCAAAATGAGTCCTCCTCCTCTCTTGTAAACCACAAACTGAACAGTAATGTAACAACACTCACCTGTTCACTAAAGTAAAACGTCGCTACTTTCTGTCGAGAACAACTACCCGAGCACAGGTAACAGGGAGAGGGAGTAAACCTGTGGGGCCAGACGGAAACGCCTGATAGGACTGTAGTTTCCCGACAGTTCCCTCAGGCTCTTTTCTAATAATAACCAGTTTTTGTTTCCTCCAAGAGACCGCTCACTAGAAGCGATTGAATCAGAAAGGTTCAGGTTTGTTTATACCTGTAAGTCTGCAGTAGATGAATCATCTGTCCTTACAGCACATTTTCAGAGGAGACTGTTACAAGCCCAGGAGTTGATGTACTTTATTAGCTTCCTGTTCTGGTCAAATTGGACTTCATTGTTTATTTAGAGTACAGCAGAGCTGCAGAGAGCAAGTCAGGAGGATGTTACCTGTCAATAACCCAGCAGCAGCCCGTGTTTAGTTTTAATATTGTTACAAAGGAATGTAAATCAGCGATTTATTGGATTGTAAACTGTTTTATTGTTAGATTTACCTTTAGGTGAGAGGAAGAAAGTTATAAACTTTTCTAAAGCTTCTAAAGTAGCTTCTGCTTTGCCCAATTAATTGAATCATTAACTGTAATGAAAAGTAACAGTTAACAGGATTAATATCACTGTAAACATGGCTTGAATAGGATGGCTGCCACCACTCTGGGGTTTGTGTACCTGCTGATTGTGTGTCTGTGTGATTGCTTTCTGCCTGTAATACTTTAACAGCTTAAAGTAAATTCCACTGGCTTTATACAGTTAAGAGACTGAAACGCTGTGTGCAGCTGCTCCTCTCTTCTGCCTCAGATTCGATAACGAAAGGGTCCAACCCAAAACTGGTGTCTTATATTAAAAACTGTGGTTTGACAACAAAGTCATCCAGTTAAATTGCTTCCAACATGCTGCTACAGGTAACGCTGTAGTGTGAACTCAGCTGAACTGAGGTATGAAAAAGTGAAAATTAAAGTGTTTGCAGCAGCATAACCTGTTAACTGCAAGGTGCTGCATGCGTGACATGGCTGGGGGCTGAAAGTCTGACTCTAGAGAACTTTGTATACTAGGGTCACATCAGAGGCAGCTAATACGGAGCCTAAAAATACAATTTAAAATGTATTATTTGTTATGATGTCTGTTATGAGCAGACAACACCGGTTCACCCTTGAGTATGGAGTCTTTTTATGCTTGAATAATTCAAAGAGTTTACAAAACAAGAAACTTCTCTGAAAATGGTCAGGTACAAGGATTGGACTGAAAATGAGTGAAAAAGCAACTAATAACCAAGACTTGACTCAAGACTTTTGCACAGCAATGTATGAGAAGGTGCGAGCATTTGTCACTGCTCATCGCAGTGACTGAGGATGGTGCTGGGTCTGATGAGCAGTGCGACGAGGTGGTGGCCTATGACACCATTAACAACCACCTATAACACAGTCATGAGATTGCACCTTGGAAGAGTCCCCACTCACACCTTGATCCACGTGACCTTGAACAAGAGGCGAAACAGCTTCATGAACTAGAAAGAGCTTCATTTCATTTCCATGATGGAGGACGGAAAACCTCCACAGAAAACTCAGGTCGTCTCATTTAGTGAATGTGTTGAATCAGGTCTAGAGAATTCACACAGACAGAAACACACAGGCAGCAGCTTTCTAAAGAACTATATTTACATAATACTCTTGTTTTACAGAGAACCATATCAAAAGTATAAAATACTTACAAAACATCCGCTGCAATATATAAAAATAACATCTATCTTCTCCAGATCATTAGGAAAGGCATACATACAAAAAATATATTTATAGACATTTACACAGAGCCTGTTTACAACATTTAACCCAGAAAACCCCGGGAGACCGAGCGAGGCTGGAAGTCGAAGGCGGGCCCAGGGATTGGCAGCGATTTGAATGGAAACACGAAACCATCCCCGAGCGACCGATCGGCGACAAAAACAGGAACAGCGCTGCCGCGAGGACACGCAAACATGGACAACAGTACAGTAGATAGGACGACCGGGTCACCGCTCCACTTTCAACGTGGCGACCCGGCCGGAGTTCCACCTTGCAGAGAACCGTCAGAATGGTTCATTCTGATTAACGCCGGCGGTGACAACTGTGTGGACACAACGGAAGATTCATCAAATGCAGATGACGCAGTTTGAAGTCTCTGAATGACAGGAACGCCAACGCCGCGTCCCCAGCACGGAGTCTGAGCAACCTGACCGAGCCCAACGACTGCAGGGATATTTAGTTCACATTAAATTTCTAGCTTAAAACAAAGCGTCAAACTGTCACATGGAAATGTTTCGATTTTATTTTTATTTACTTTATATTTCTATGTTAAATCACATCCAGGTGAGAACAGTGGGATCTAAATCCCGAGGCCAAATTTTCTTGTACATATGAAGCAGGTGTAAGACGAGGGTGAAAACTATTTTTACTTGAATTCTGCCTTAAATAAAAGGACTGAAATTCTTCAGACTGGCAGGGCATTTTACTCTATCAGCCTTCAGACCACTGTCTGTCAGACCACACACAGGGCAAAATGTCCTCATTAAAGGGCACAAGTTTCCTGTGTTTTCCATGTTTTTCCGCTCAGAAACGCAGCTTTAGAGGAGGTGATGGATGATTTCTCTGCAGGTTTCTCGCCAGGCTGAATCACAGAATAACATTATGAGTGACTTAAAGGCATCGCGGTTCAGTGCGCCTGTTTGTTTGGACTCTGCGCATTCACCTGGAGGTTCAAGTACTGGACTCCGCGACAGAAACTTTCCGATTCCTGCTGCTCATTTCCCGGCGGCTTGTTATGTTTTTAAAGGACCATTTCTCTGTTTTTTTCCCCTCGATTTATGAAATCTGCCGGAATATCTGTGAGCCTCCAACAACCAGCTGGCCTCAAATTTAAAACATGACATTTCATAGGGGGAAAAAAGGCTCGATATACCAGCATCTCATTTACCTAAACAAAGAATGCGCTATTGTTAAGTTATTTAAATGTTTATGGAGAAAATAATTTCCCTACAGTATGAAAATCACCCGGCTCAAGCTGTAAAACCAGAAACAAACACATGTTGATTCAGTCCTAAAAATAAAAAAACAAAACAGACAACCAGCTGAACCCCCCCCCCCCTAAAAAAAAACCAAACAAAAAAACAGAGGGATGGTCCTTTAATGTGACTTAATGCTAACGTGGCGGTCGAAGGCAGAGACTGCAGGTTCAGTAGTAATCTTACTGCTGTTTTTGTGCGTGCACACAGTTTGTTTGTGTTTACCGTTGACTCGTGTGCAGATGTTTAGATTTACACTCCTGGTGGAAGAGAACAGAAAGTCTCAGAAACCAGTTTAATCAGTTCAGGCTACTTCACAACAATCAGGAAACCTTCAGGCAAAGGATCACAAACACTTTCAGTCTTTATACGGGGAAAAATTAAACCGAGCTTCAACGCTCTGATTTCATTTCCTTTAAAGACAGCTGATCCAGTATCAGGTGGTGGGTTTTTCAGGCTTTGACCTGAATCTCGTCTGGCTGCTCTCGAAGCGCCAGTTAGTTCTTGTCCCGTTCATTAGCAGATATGCTCTGATGTTTATCACGTAATGTCCTCCAAATGTGCAATAAAAGGTCGAACACCACACAGCAGCCAATGTTTGGCCCACACCTGACTCTGAAAATCAGCATCTGTCTCTGTTGTGCCAAAGTTAGCCCAGATTAGGCCCAAACACGCCTGCTGTGTGCTCATTTCATTCCATAAATTTAGAAAGTTTGAGGACAAAAGCTGATTAGTGCCATCCTGCAGGGACAACAGCAGCTTAAAAGAAGGTGGCAATCGTTTTAGAACCAATTCTTAATATTCATATAAAAGTCCACTTTTTTTTTTTTACTCCATAAAAACCCCAATCTGCATTTTAAAACTGGTTTTATTTGTATAGTGCATCCAAGTCCAGAATGGAAGCTCATGTCAGGACTGCAACAGTAATTTTTTTTAAATGTTTTTTTTGAGGACTTTTCTACCAGGAGTGTTTTTACACACCGAGCGCTTCGTTAATCTGCTTATCTGAACGGAGCCTTCGAGGACCGCGTGGAGATGTTAAACGACAATTTTCACTCAAAACGACAATACGATCAGTTTCATAGTGGACTATCCCATCACTCTTATTTTGAAAGGTCAGTCACTGCCCCAGCCGTTCCTGTCGTGTTTCCCACAGACTCGCTCAGCTGCTTTCCAGAGACTCCATCACCTCATCTCATATGGATGCCTGCGGATCACCGCTGATGTGGGCAGATGTTCTGAAGCTGCGGTGAGCTGGGAGGTCATTCCACCTTGAACCTGAAGCAGGTTTAGCGAGGTCACCGCGGCTTCAGAGCAAGAGGACAGCCAGCTGCAGTCCGAACAGTGGGATGAGGAACTTCCTGGAAAGGCAGCTGGTTTTCTTACTCTATTATTTAAATATTTATTGATCTAATGAAGAAAGTGTGGTGTTCCCACCCGTGAATTCAGTCTGATCTGTGGGAAACCCCGGAGGAGCTCAGCTGCACGGATCAGCTGACTCAGCTGAATTGCAGAGCCTCCGAGCAGGAATGTGGCCGCTTACAGGAGCTCTGAACACTGTGTTTCTTCATCGTGCTGCAATGATTCAACGGCCAGTCTGTGTGTGTGCGGTGCTGACAGGCTTCTCTCTGACAGCATGAGAACGTGACGCGGTCGCCAGCCTTCTGCGACTAACGCCAACACGTGGTGGCAGCAGGAAGTGGTCGGCGGCTCACTCTGCAGGCTTCGTGTGTGTGCGTGCGTGCGTGAGACTAGTGGTGGTTGGCGAGCAGTTCGTCCAGGTCGGCCATCCACTCCTGCGTGTTCTGTCCTTTCAGCAGCGAGTCCACCAGGTCGCTCTCCGCGGGGAAACTCCCCGACGCCACGTTGTATCCGAATGACACCTGATGCTGCTGCTGACTCACTGTTTGGCTCACCTGGTATCCTTGGTTACACTGTAGTCCCTGGCGACCGTTGCCTTGCGGCTGTCCGAACGCTGCCAGGTTGGGGAGTACGGCCTGGTTCTGGGGGCCCTGCTGCTGATTGGTCATTGGCTGGCCCTGTCTTTGGGGGTTGGGCAGTGCCCTCTGCTGGGGCGCTGCCATGTTTGTCTGCATCATTTGTTGTCCGGGATTCAGACCACCCATCGGACGTCCACCTGGGTTGCCGCCAAAGGGGGCGGAGCCGGATGGCATCTTGGGAATGCAAGGCTGCTGCTGCGGCGGCATGTGGAAGGCATTGGGGGGGCCGCTGAAGGACAGGCCTGCATTACTGGAAGGCGGCTGGTTGACGAGCTGCTGCTGCCAGGCGGTGCTCTGACCGCCCGGCATGCCGCCCCCCATGTTGCCCTGCATGGAGGCTGGGAGACGGGCAGCTCCGGCCACATGAGGCTGCTTCAACATAGCTGCATTGGGCGGCGTCTTCAGGTGCTGCTGCTGAGGCAGGAGGTTGTGCCCGTACGGAGCGCTCATGGTGGTGTTCAGAGACGTCTGGCGCTGCAGACTGGTTTGCTGGGCCAGGTGGTTGGGGTGCATGCTCATGGTGTTGTAGAGGACGTCCACGCCGGCTCCACCCCCCTGACTAATGTCAGCCTGACTCACTGTCGGGGGCGGGGCTACGCCACCTGCTGGACCACCACCCTGACCCATGTTCATGCTCATCATGCCCTGGTTCTGAGGGAACATACGGGACCCGGGGGCGGGGCCTCCCATGGAGCTGACACTGCCCATTGGCTGAGAGGAAGCTAAACAAAACCAGAAGAACAGAAGAAAACAACAATCAGGAAAACGTGCGTCAAAATCTTTTTTCAGAGTGGGCCACATAAGTGCGTCGCCCCAGTGAAGCTCCTTAGTCGCACATTTAATCCCTGAGATCTCGTAATAGAAAACATAAAAAGGATTTTGTTTGTCCCCGTAACTCTAACCCTGCTGGAGCTGAACCGCTGATCTGTTCAGCTACTTTCATTTCCCATTCAAATGAGCGGCATTTACACAGTCAGCCTGAACCCACAGAAACCAAACTCACTCTGGTTTCACTTGTCCAGGTATAAAACACAGCCGCTCGGAAACTTTTAGAACAAACACATTTTTAAAGATATTCACCATAAATCTGTGGTCTCATGTTACATATGAATGAAGGTGAAACCTGTAAGAACGCAGGCTGTGTTTTTATTTCCATGAGGAAACTCGTCACTTTGGAGACCAGACGGTCACGAAATCCTGAACTTTGATAAAAACTCTGCTGGTTTTACAAGGTCCTGATTCTGGCTTCTCTGTTTTAGATGTCATTTTAATATTTAATCTTTTGTGTGCTACGACTTTCTGCAGTAACAGATCATACCATTTTTAATGGGCTTTATCCTAAGGCCGGAAAACAGAACGAACCTCTGCTGTGCGTCTCCATAAACTCTATCATATTGGAAGCTTCAGCCGCCCGAGCTGCAATCTTACGGTCTTTAACTGGTTAAGGTTTATGTTTGATGCCGAATTTGTTTGTTCTGTGTTTTTTTAACTGGAATTTTCCCATTGGTCAATGATCAACTCTGCATTTTGAACCTTGAAATTATTCTTGAAAAAAAAAAAAGAAGCATGTTTTCAAAACATTTCATGGTCCGATCTTTCGAAGCACACGCACAACTTATACCCAAGTGTTGGCACTTTGATCCTCCTTCCTCCCGCGGATGAGGAAGGATACCAAACCAAAAAGTCCCATACCAATCCCATACCAAAAAGATGCAGAACACACATTCAAATAACTCCTACTTCCTGTTATGATTACTTAAGTGCTTTTTTGGTACTTAATAATTCTGCATTGGAAGGTGTCTGCTTCTTCTTATATTTTGTGGCCTTTGATTTTGTGATTCTGAACTGAATCACAAAGCATTCATTATGAAATAAATAAAGCAAAGTAATAAAAAAAAAAAGTCCCAGGAAAGGCTGTGATCCTGCTCAGGAGCGTTTCATCTTTTTCCACCTTTTTCTTTCAAAAAAATAATCACTTTTTTGTCTTCTGTGTATTCTCCCTGAACAACCACATGGGGCAGTAATGAGCTCATTCCACATGTGAAGAAGCAGTGGGCAGTTTTTTAGAGTTGCAGCTCTGTCACAGAGGTATTCATGCCTGAGAGACCTGAGAAATGCATTGTGTGAACACTTCCTGTAGGCGTACCTGTAAACTGGTTGGCCGGCTGCTGTGGGTAAGGGTTCTGACTGGCCGTTGTTCCCGACTGGTCCTGGTACTGTGGAGGAGGTCGGGTCAGGTGTCGCTGCCGCTGCTTCTCCTGCACAGACACATGGAGAGGGTTACTGTGTGGGCTTCAGATTTAGGACAGATGCGAGGTGTAACTCATTATCACGTGGCCACTGAAGGTGAGCAGTGCAATGACAATAACGGAATAAACTGACCCTCTCAGTGTTGAAGCAGGTTGGAAATGTTGGAATCACCTGCAGATGAGTCTTACCTGTTCGGCTAAAATCTGCTGCTGCCTCTGAATGTACTGCTGCTGTTTCTGTTGCTCCAGGATCTGCTGCTGATGATGTTGTTGCTGTTGTTTCCTCGCTGCTGCCTCTTTACTGGTCATGTACGCGTTACCGTGGTTACTCGGCATGGCGTTGTTTCCAGGCTTGGCCGTCATGGCGTTTGTGGGCCCCGGGCCGTGTGGAGGAGCGGGGTAGCCGTTCTGATCCTGCAGATGAAGTTTTGTGTTTTGTTACTGAAGAAGAAGCGACACTTTTTTTTCTCTGCTCTAAAAAAGCTTCATGTGACTTTGGTAACAGCGTCAGGCAGTTCTTCATGACTCCAGCGCAGAGCTGCTGTCGAGCAAAAAGTTTAACCAGAGCATCTCATAGGTTACCTGCTGCAGCGTTCTCGTTTAATAACTTCAACCACTTGTTGAGTGATCCTTCCATTCAGAAACTTACCGGTCTTGTCTGTATGAAAACAGACAACTGTTTTTCTTTGTAAAGCTCCTGATTTCAGATCTTTAAAGTGGTGAAGTTATACGGATATTTTTCAGTTGATTAATATTGTGTGTTCATTCGTCTGATTCTATGCTGGGATCATTTAGGTGTGTCCTAAAGTCCTCTTGAAAATAATCTTTATATCTGAAATTATGGAACTTGTCTTAAATGATGTTCTTTCCTGACCAGCTGTCCTTGAACAGCACATTTTACTTTCAAGAATGAAATAAAAGCAAAATAAATTAAAATAAACTTCATCTTGGTTAAAACAACATTTACAGATTAAGTGGGACAGCTTTCAAATGTGATGATCAGAGGGTAGTGGTTCTGAAATCCTCACTAACTATAAATGTAATTTTAGTTTTTGACAACACTACTAATTGTTCATTTTTCACTGCACAGAATTTACCTGAAGGCCTGCTAGTGCCCCCTTGAGGCTGAGGAGGGAACTACAGGCTCATGATGGCTGAGAATGCACGGTGCACCCTGAGGGGGGAGCTACAGGAAAGGTTATTCCATTCAGGAAGACGTATCATTGAAATTAGCTGGGAATGTTCATCTTTGAACAAAATGCAGACAGACAGCATCGCAGGAACAGTGTGTCCTGTCTGCTGAGAGGAAAAGTACAGGCAGGAGCGGCTAAATTTAAATACACAGACAAGGACAGAGGGGGGGAGGGTGGGGGTATAAAGTATGAAAGGCTGCCTCTGTCCGTCCACCGCCCCCCCCCGCTCCCATGGGAGGGTTAGCAACCAGCTGCTCGACCCAAACAAACACTAACAAGCTGAACAAAAGGCTGCTGCCCGATTTTACTGCCCCCCCATTCCAATGAGGAATATGGGGGGGATTTAAGTTTTTCTGTCACTGTTGGCTCTAAATCAAGTTCGGATCACGTGTGATGGCTGTGTCTCGTGGGTGCTTCTCACCTGTGGGTGTGGCATATGAGGCCGGTAGGGCTTCTCTTTGCGGCACTGCTGCTGGATGAGTGAAAGCAGGCCCACCTTCTGGTTCTGGTTAGTGGGTCGCGGTGGTCCGGGCCCCGCCTCATAGTGCGACAGAGGTTTGGTGTTGTTGTAGTTCAGCATGACGGCCGGGGCCTGAGCACCTGCTGCCGGCGCGTGGCTGAGAGGCGGCCCTGAAGTCGGGTGACCCAGCATGTTGGGGTGTCCGGAGGAGCCCGGCATGAAGCTGCTGGCACCCGCCTTTGGAGAGGCCTTGTTGGGCTGACTGGATATCACCAGCTGCTTCTGGGCATTGGGATTGAAATCCTGTGAGTAAAGGGAGTTATTTGTGGATTTGTCCATACCAAATGCACTCGCTTGTGAGCTTTGAGAGGTATTGGGCATCTGGGACCATGGAGAGGGGTGGGTGGGGTGGGTGGGGAACTTGGCTCCTGGCTGCTGCTGCTGCATATGTCTGTGGAGGTGCTGGACTCTCTGCTGCCGGACAGCCAGTTCCTGGAGCTGCTGGGCAGGGGACAAGTCTTTGGGCCCCTGAGGGAGGAGGTGGTTGGGTGGAGGCTGGATTTGCCTGGGAGGAGCAGGCTGGGAGGTGGAAAGAGCTGGGGAAGAGGCAGAGGAGGAGGCGACAGGGGAGCTAGTGGGATGAGGAGGAGCAGTCCCGGAAGGCGTGGATCTGACTTGGGGGGAGCCAGTGCGAGAATCCTGCTCGAAGACGGCAGAGGGTGGGGAAAACTCCGCCTTCACGCTCACCAAATCTGGAGGAAGTAAACCCTGGGAAGACTGTCCCCCCCCTCCTGCCCCTCCCCCGACAGCACCACCACCAACCTGAGTGGCTGCCAGTTCCAGAGGGTCTTTGCGGTCCTCAAAGCCATCGTTGAGGATCTCCTGGATGTCTTCGTAGTCCACAGGGAAGTTCAGCTCCTCCATCAGCTCTGTCCACTCCTGTTCGTTCAGTTCAGGGAACAGGCTGTTGTTGCCAACCGGGGGTGGCATGATGGGGAGGATGTCGTCTGGCTCCTGCTTCATCTCTTTCGGATGGAAGTCTGGACCCGGCTCTCTGCCACCGTCTCCCGACTCGCACATGGGCCCGTTAGAGTTGCTGATATCTGGCTTGGAGTCAAGCGGGGAACCGGCGGTAGCGCTGTTGTCCTGGCAGCCTTTCTGGCTCGACGGGAAGCTTTCATAACTGTTGACTTGTCCTCGCAGGTCAGGGGGACTGAGGCTCTCCAGCTTCCTCTTTAGAGTCTCCTGCAGTTGGAACGACAAAAAGAAGCATCAAGAGTTACTCAAAGCAAAACCCCAGACGGTTCAAACCTCAAAGTGAACCTCTGAGTTTAAAAAACAAACAAAACATAATTTACAAAACAAGGATTATTTATATCTGTAAAAAATACATTACTACATTTTATCTGACCCAGACCCAGCATGTTACACAGGGTCTGAATTCTGACCGGCTGACAAATCAAGTTTAAAAAAAAAAAAAAAAAAAAGTGCCACTTTGTTTGGGAAAATAAAACCTAAATCAACGAAAGGCTTTAAATAAAATATTCCAACACAAGGCTGAAAGAGGAGGGCAGGGGTGATTTGGGAATGACCAAGTTACCAAAACCTTTGTTGCACAAAAACAGGATATAACATAAATAATTGTCAATTGTCAAATTGATATTGTCAAAACTGCTTCTGTTTTTTGTGTAATTTGAATTCTTTCTCACTTTGGTATCATCACCATCAGTAGGCACACGCGCAGCTGAGCTGCAGGGGGTGTGCAGCAGAGAGACAGGTGCTGCTAAAATCACCGGCAGGCCGGCTTACATAAGGATATAAAGGGCAGTCGGCAGGTCTGACGGCTGCGTTCTGTCAGCAGCTCGACTCGCCCGATCGCAGCACGTCAGCTGATCCTCACACTACGCGATTGCCAAACGCTCTGAACACCTGAGGTACCCGTGATGACAAGCAGGCAGGTGGACACAAGCTCCAAAGTGCCTCCTGCTCTGGAAAGTCAAACAACAGTAGCGTCCCTAACAGATTTAAAAAAAAAAAAAAAAAAAAAAAAAAAGATCACACTGCTTTTAAAGGGGATTTTCTTCCTACAACAAGTCCTGGATCAAAACTTCACAGATGTAAAAGAGGCAGGGTTTAGCCTGCTCTGCACCCACTGGTCCAGCCTTTGCTTTCAGATGAGCAGCTTTGGCCTTCCTTTTAAAAAAAAAAACCCCAAAAACACGTCCTCGCCAAAAAATGCTGAGAATTTCCTGATTAGCCAGAGTGAAGCCAAAGTGGCAGCATCCAAACATTCAGAGCAGCTTATCTCTGACTCCTCAGCTCCTCCCGCGACCCTGACGCTTCTCCCGGAAGCTCTGAAAACAGTCTGAAGGCCTCACGTTCACCTGTGTGGGCATTAGGGCTGCCACGATTAGTCGACTAGTCACGATTACGTCGACTATCAAAATCGTCGACGACTGATTTAATAGTCGAGGCGTCGTTTGAAGCTTTGTAAGATCACAAAAGACGCAGGAATAAGTAGTAGGATTTATGAGTGTAATAACGGATTGAAACAGAAGATGGCAGCACTGCATGTACAAGGATGCCAGCTGCTGTTAAACCCCGAAGAAAAAGAAGCAGCTCTGTCCCAGAATTCATAGCGCAGCCCAGCTCAGTTTCCAACAATGGCGGCAGCTAGTTAGTTTTAATATTACTCTTTTTATTCTTTCTGGGTCACAAAATAAATGTTTAACATATTTTCAGGCGAGAATGCATCTGTGTAAACTTCAAACATCTGTTCAGTTTATCAAGACACCACATATTTTCAAAAGCGCTCCAACGTTTTCGGAGACGTCTGTTACCCACTAGCTCGTTAGCTAGCCGGGGGCAAGGCTCACTAGAGCCGGTGGGAACACCGGACTCCCGGCAAATCGTTTTCAAACCCACCGCCGCCTTTCGCTACTCAGGTTAAACATATACAAATCACTTAGATAACTTACAAATGTTATTTTTTGGATTTTTTTAGTATTTTATTTGTTCCTGAGTAAATCGGTTTGGCTGAGATTAAAGTTATAGTTTTTACACAGCTGAATAAACGTCAAGCAGACAACTGATTATCAGAAGTGTGAGATGCTCCAGAATATACTCCGTTGTCCTGTTATATTTTAGATAGCAACGAGTTTATTAAACTCCACCGAAACAATCTGCAAATTTGATTAAAATTTAAGAAACTATCATCACGTCTTTATTTTTAGTTAGCACCTTAAACACTTAAAGCTGTAAGCTAATGATAGTTATATAAGAGCAGATGCATGCTGGTGCAATAAGCTGTACGTTTTACGTCCAATGAATGCATGATCTGATTAGTCAACTAATCGCAAAAATAATCGGTGACTAGTCGACTATCAAAACAATCGTTTGTGGCAGCCCTAGTGGGCATGCCAACACTCTCGGTTGGTCATGGCATTTGAGGTGTGTGGCGGCATGTAGGGCTGCTCAATTAATCTAATTTTAATCACGATTACGATCTGGGCTTTCAACGATCATTAAAAATGACTGAGCCGATTATTAGCCCCTCCCTCATTTATCCGCGACACCTTAAAGGCCGGTCCGTGAAAATATTGTCGGGCATAAACCGGTCCGTGGTGCAAAAAAGGTTGGAGACCGCTGATTAAGAGGACCCGAGGGAAGCTCGGAAAGCTAAGCAGAAGTTATTTGGAGAGTGACTGCCGTTGGTTGAAAAGAGTTAAAAAAAAAAAAAACTTCAGTGGTGTTGCACACTATTTTATATTATTTTTTTAAAGTCATTGTTAACCCTTTAAAGCCGGTCAGAGCAGTAAGCTCCGTTTTGCGTAACTATTGTTAAATCCCTGTAGAACCTGAACCGTGTAAGCTAGCGCAATAATTTGTTTTGCATATGAAACCGGAGGAGTTGTACTTACATCTGATGCCATCAGCTTGTCCTCGGTCACGGTTTCCTTCCACATATAGCTTTGCAAAAATTGCATAAAAAGCGCTTGCAGGAACAAAAACATAATATTCCAGAAACACGCTTTGCTGTTCCTATCAGCTGTTCGTAACACTTCCCACAGTGAAATGATGCACATGCTGTTTTCTTTGCAAATTTGCATCATAGGATTGTTTTTTGTTTTTCCTGCAGTATATAAAAATTGCTGTATCTCCAAAATAAAACTATGAAGACACTCAAAATAAATTTCCTGTGGTGGGAAACTATTTTTTGCAACTTTATTGTATTTAAAGTTTTGAGGGATAAACCTCTTAAATTTCTCCAAGTAGAAATATATATAAACAAAACAAAAGCGATTTTCAATTTTTTTTGTAGTTTATTGCACTTTTTTGCAATTTATGTAATTACTATGGACTTAATGCATACATATTATTAAAATATGGGCTATAACAGTTGTATTGATGTATAGCAACTTGAAATGCTCCCACAAATGGCACTACAGCATGTAAAAAAATAATATAAGCTCTGGTGGACTTGGTTCTATAGTAGGTCTTAAAGGGTTAAATAAATATCGTCAAATAATCGTGATCTCAATTTCAGTGAAAATAATCGTGATTATCATTTTTGCCATAATCGAGCAGCCCTAGCGGCATGTGTGTGCATCAGAATCTGAACACAGATAAGTTTCAGTTTCCTTTAGTCACGTTCGCCCACACACTCCCTCTGTTTATAAAACTCATGATGCCTTCACTGGTGTCCGAGTCAGACAGGCTTAACATTTTTTTTTTTTTTAAAGGCAACCATTTTCAGTTAATGGTTTTTATTCTTAGATTCTTCTGAGTAACTCTGCATGACCCTCAGTTCATAATAATCCTTCTTTGTCTAACACGAGCCTCTGTGAAGCTCATTAGTCCAAAATAAGATGCTTTAGCCCCTCCCCCTTTGGGAAAACTTCTTCCGTTTGGCAGGTGGGTGAGAGCGTATGCCCTCTCTGACATCATACCAATCAAAGTGTAAAACAAAACAAAACTGAAATCTACTAAACTGATACCTGAACTTCTGAATGACACATTTTGCCTCATTTACAGTTACTCTGCTCTGATCAGCTGACCAAACAAAGCACCTGTCGTACCGCAGGTGTACAAGTTTTTATGTTTCTGATGCTAATAAGATGACCACGTGAACGCCTTTAAAACCTGAAATACAGGTCCCACTCCACCCATGTTGCTATGGTTACAGACCTGGAGTGAGACTAACGAGAGTCCTTTCAATGAGACAGCCTCAACTGTCAGGTAACGGAGTGATATAACAACACATGCTGACATTACAAATAACAAAGTCATCATTGTGCTCCTGGGCACAGACTCAAACTGCTTCTTTTAAACACAAATCTACGTCCCACCCTCTGACCTTCGTAACTAACAGTGACACTGCTGAAACTCTTGGGACGGTCATGGCCACTCTGTGCATTTTTTCTGAGAGAAAATGACTGTTTCCAAATATTTACGGGGTGATTCATCCTGGAATTTTTTGACTCAGCCTTTGCCACAAAATTCCGGACTATGGGCCCCATTTCTGTCGGCCTGCAAGTGTTTTAAGGGGAGAAATCCTGACTTCACAGAGTAACCACTTTAAACAGGTTCACTGGAGTTTGGTTTGTCCACAGTCAGCTGTTCAGGAACCAGCCCGACGTCTGATATCAGGCTGGCCAACATACTCTAGGTGAAACCATCCACAGCTCGCTTTCTACTTTTAGATCACTGACGATGTGACAGCCCTACAGCTTCTGCTCCATCATCATCATTATTACCATTATTGTTATTATTATTGTTATTATTGCAGATGAATTGCTTTTTTGGGCAAAAAATGCTTGACAATTTTTTTTTTTTTTTTTTTTTTTTTTTAAATCAGGAGTGGTGAAAAATTTACTTTTTTTAAATGGGTGATATCACTGTGTGATAAACACAGTTTTATTGTTTGGTTTAAATATGACAAAGAGCAACATGACATGCAATTACTGTATGTTCTCTGACACCACATACATGACACAGGAAGGAAGGAGGGAAGGACAACTAAATGTTTGTGTGACAGCCAATTAGAATACGATGCTCAGAACCCACAGGAAAGGCTTCGAGCACAGAACACTTTCAGGTGCTGCTCCTGCTCGTTAACTGACGGACAGAAAAACGCTCAGAGGATGCGATTACACTGAAACATCAGTTCCTCTCTGACTCAGACTCTTATCAGCCAATGTGTTGTGAAAACACTCAGTTTCACTCAAAACTTCTACACGCACACTCGGTGACATCAGGGGGAGCCAGTTGTAGCCCCGCCTCCTCCCAGCCTTTGCTGAGCGAGGCATTTCCCCAACAGCGGGAGTTTCCTCTGTGATGAGTCAGCAGTTGGGGGGGAGGGGGGGTTCTGCTCACACTGAGTCACCTCTCAGGGCTTTCGGGCCGCCTCACATTAATGTATGACGAAATATGAGAACACACACCCCGAGCCTCTACCGCAGCGTCACACCTTATTGATCCTGCATGTAAGCGATCAGCTGCAGGAAACTTCTAAGTGACTAAAACCTCCTCTTCATTTCATCTAACCAGAAAACGGCTGACTGACAGGAAAACAAAAACTACACTGCTGTTTGTTCTCAGGAAGCTCATCTGATCTAAACCCTTCAAAAATCTTTCAGAAGAACAAATTTATTCCATCATCCACAGGCATTTTTAATTCAGCTCGAAATTACTGCAGAAAATGCAAATGGTCAAAGGTCAGAGCTGAGAGGTGCCTGGATTTTCAGAGGCACTGAACAGAGAAGTTTGTCAAAGCGACCACAGGCAAACTTAGGGGAAACACGTCACATGACCACACAGCAACGCCACAACACACACACAAACACTCGAGTGCAAGCGGCTTCACTGATCAGCAGCTTTGTCGTGGTCTCATGTTATTGATTTGGAATTTATCAATGGCGGTGATTAGAACAGACTGATTAACTGGGGTATTACACCTAGTGAGTGATTTCAGAGGGGGTGAGGCTTGAAACACTGGCTCATTCTCAGCGCCTTAATCAATAAACTGATCAGCTGGGTATACTGTCTTTCAGCCACACCCGCCCATCATGAAGAAGCAGCTGTTATCCCAAAAGAATTTGTTTCACACCTGTAGGCTTCTTCCAGTTACTTCATTTCACAATAAATGTCCTTGTTTTATGTACTGCTGATTGGCAGATTTCATGATGTAACAAAAAACAAGGTTTCTAAAAGAAAAAATACAGTGAATCATTCATTCATTAAATGTTGGAAACAAGTTCTTTTAAAAAAATCTTACTAAAAAGAGTTGGACTTAACTGCGTTTTTGGTGTTAAACACCAATTAAAATAATGTTTGCAGGGATCTAATGAACATGTCAGGAAGTGATGCAGTCCCTGGCTAACTATGCTTATAAAAACGTGTGGAATGACACTGGTGGATGAATAAAGACTCTTCAGTATCAGTGCTGTTGTCTCTTGTTTGGACCCTCCAGCTGCTTATGTTGATTTTTATGAAACCTGTGGGTGTGCTCACTCACCAGGGTGCTGCTCCTGCTCTGCTCCCCCGTCATCACCCCGCTCTCCCCGTGCTCCCCGCCGGTTCCTCCTCCGCCTCCGGGCGCTCTCTGCCCGGCCTGATCGCCGCTGGGCTGGTGCTGCCGGTGCTTGTTGGACCGCTTGGCTTTGGACTGCAGGCAGCGCTGGTGCAGGGCGTAGGTCTGTTGCCGGTCCATCTCCTGCCGCTCCATCATCGCGGCCAAGTAGCGCTCCTCGCAGTTGTTGTGATGCTGCCGGAACTGCTCGATCCTCCGGCGGAGCCGCTCCATCACCTCGCTGCGTCGCGGTGTAACAAAATCCGCCATCATCAATAAAGCCTTGCAGTAAACTCCCGGCTCAGGTTTCGTCCATATATTGCTGAATCTGGCGTCTACACCCCCCCTCACTCTTTACAAAGACTCCGGTGCTGGCTCCATGGAGGCGGCCTTTGTGCTGCTAACGGCCTTCAGTCACACTCACTGCCGGAGAGGAGAGGTCAGGTTTTTGGGGGCAGCACCATCCAGCCTCCTCGTCTACCTGGTCTTGTGTACAACAGCTCGTTTAATTAGCTGTGTAAAGCTACCGGAGTCCTGCTAGAGCCTATCTGGTCCTCCCTTTACTCCCCGAGCTGCCCCTGCCCTTTGCTCCTGATCATTTATACCCCAGTCTGAGAGACAGGCTGCTGCCTTCAAACTCACTCCCGCTGGGCTAACTTCGGCTAGCGCATTCCTCCACTCTAAATCAAAGTAGGAGCCTAAAATCCTCCCACCCCACCCCCAGAAAATGAGTTAAGCAGAACCTGGTCTGGAGCTAGCCTCCGTCTCCTCGTCCACCTGCCCGTTACCGGCGGTGCTCCGCTCCCGACAGCCTCCTAACGGCTCCACAACGCCCCTCAAACTTTATTCTCCTCGGCTGATGGAGGTTAGCTCGGGTAGCATGGGATTAGCTGGCTGGCTAACAACTTGTCAGCTAATGGAAATAAAACTTCACGCGCTTGAAAACAAACTGCCAGACTTTCAGGACATCTGAAGCACAGTTAGAGTTAAAGTCACTTACTGTGAGAGTGCTGCTGTCCGCTCTCCTACAGCATCTGTCCCAGCATCTGTCCTCCGAACAGCTGATCCTCCCGCTAGCCGTTAGCCGCTAGCTACTAACGCTGTTTGGGGTTCGGCTAGCTAGCAAGATAGCTAGCCTGAAACGTTTAAATGAACCATCATACTTTAAAACTATCTCCCCAGAGTTACACCCAAGGATAATCTTTCCCTCGGCTGAGCCCACGTCCGAGATGAACTGTTTGGGAGCGAATTCCTGGGAAACAGTGGGATAAGAGTCCCTCTGCGCCTCTTCTATTGTTTTCCAAAGAACAAGTTACACCGCCGCCATCTTGAAAACTTTCTCTTTTTCCCCTCCTTCATCTGCGTTACAGGAATGTCCCCGCCTTTTCCGGTGACGGACAGTAGAAACAGCCAATCAGAAGATGAGACTGAGTGTTTAAATCAATGACTGTAGAACAATACATAACAAACACACACGCGCACAGAGTGTACGATCGGTAAATCTGTTCAAGGGAGGGTTATTGGGTTATTGTACCACAAAAAAACAAACAAAAAGAAACCCAAAACAAATAAACTCAAATAAATTCACTTTTTGAATATTAATTTAACATGAATATAATTTTTTTTAATTATGAAAACCACTGGCAGCTAATTTTACTGGCAGCAGGTTAAACACTCATCAGCAGTTTGACCGCCACAATAAAGATTATTTGGGGTCATTAGCGGCCCCTGAAGGACACTACTGGGGCCAGTATTCCTGCCTCCCCCCTCAGAAAAAAATTAATTAATTAATTAATTAATAAATCATAGATTAGGAAAAATACAAAAATAAATACATTAATTAATACTATGCAAGAGTTACATAGAAATTAACATAGAAAAAGAAACCAAAAAATAGAAAAAACCAAGGTTGGACATACAAAAATACATTAAACTATAAATTAGAAAGAATAATATAGATATATAGCCCCCGTGAGAAATGGCACGCAGGGGTAAGTATACTTGTAGAGGGTGTCTGGTTCAGTGGTCATAGGATCTAATCTCTGCTTTTTTGCACATGATGTGATTCTATCAGCTTCATGAAGTGGTATCCCCCAGCTCGCAGCCGTGGAAACGAGAATTAGCGTTATTCAAGAGTAGCTTTGCATGATTTACGGTTCATAATAATCCTTCATCTCATACCAGGACTGCCCTGCAGTTCAGCCTCAGTTTGACACAAACTGACTTTATGATTGGCTGCTTTAAGAGAAGACAAATGTTAGATTCATAAGAAAAAATGGGGCTAAGTTTACATGAAAAAAAGTGGGGGGAAAAGTTAATTTGAGGGGAAAAAGTTAATTTCAAATAGATAAAAATACTGTTAGAGATGGCATGTTTATTTATGAGCTAAAAGAAGAAAAGCACAATAGTAAATAACCACGCTGCTGCCTCTGCTTCTGTTTCCATTTGATGTTTTTATTAATCAAATCGAGTGTTGACCACGTGTCCGCACACACATAAACACAGAGCAGGCTCCATTATCACAGTATTTCCATTGAAAGCTGGAGCTTCCTGTCAGCAGGTCCACTCAGCGTGGATGTGGGGACGGCGGCCGGGCCAACCGTTAGTACAAACACAGAACAAAATAAAAAGCAGAGTTACAGAGGCAGAGTCTCCCCCGCAGGTACAGTGTTCAGTCTACAGTCTGTTAGCGAGGCAGCTTCAACAACGCCGTGAACAACGCCATCGTGCCTAAACAACAGCATCTTCACGGCCACTACAAGCAGCAGAGCCAGCAAAATCATCCTACGAGGAAGAGGAGATGGTCGCCTGACACAAACTTTCAACACTTGCCATAAACCACCAGGCAATCACAAGCAGCCTGTCCCGACTGAAAAAAGGATCAGGCTCAGGATTCACACTGGAATCATTTTCCACCTGCTGATCGCTTCAGTTTCACCTCAGACGGGAAAAAAAACAAAAGAAAAACAAAAGGTCCTGCAGGAAGATTAGCACATAAACAGGTGATCAAGGGTTTGAGAGCATCAATAAGTTTCACAGATATTTGAAATCATTGTTACCTGCCAGGCACTTTTATTTTGGCAGTGGAAAGGAAAATATAAAAAGAGTGAAGGTTAAAGTCTGTAAAATTCAGATTTGACTGAATGAACAATAACGATTTATAATCAGAATAGTCAAAAATTACAGCAAATGATTTGATTTGAAGCATTATTAGTAAGAAAATAAATCCGGGTTGTTCTGTGATTCCCATTGATCCACCCAAACTCTGATAATCACACAAACCAAAGATGGAGTTTCTCCTTCTTTATGAAGTTTGATTTTCTACCAACAGCATTACCTCTGACACCTGCTTCATATAAGATGACTTCAGGCTCAAAAGAGAATCAAGTTAGAAAATGAAAAACAACTTTTAAATTTATTGATTTTGTGGCCCACCAGAGGGCTGCAGACGGGACACTGTAACAGCGCGTTACACGACCAGTCTATATGCTGATCACTGGTTTTACCAGTTTAAGAACGATGGTTGTTTTTTGGTAAGTTATCGCAGACAGATGAAAAATAAGTCTCACTCTATGAATAAATAACTTTTTTGCGCTACACGGCAGGACTTAAAACTGTTGGTTGGACGGCCACCAGGCATTTTCCCAGCCTGATGCTGAGGTCACGTGATTATCTTCCAGGGGTATTGGTTCTGAATTTGGCCCCACCTGTGTTCACACATGGCAACTGCTTCAGCTCACAAGATCCACTTACTCACACCACCTGACCTTTGAGCCACGCCTATGCTCCACACCCTGAAAACGACCACCAGGCGGGTTGACTCTACAGGTGGACAGCTGAGGTGTTAAGTACCTCATTGTGGTAGTGTTTTTGTGTTGTCCAAATGTTCAGAGAGCGCCACTGTTATAACAAAAAAACAAACAAAAAAAACAACTTAATTTTAAAGATTTTTTGTGTGTGTATGAGCTGAACCTTCATTCACACAACGATCATACCCGAGATCAGCTGACTGTTGCACGTACGTGACCTTTGACCTTTAAAAAAAAAAAAAATTAGACGAGCTAACATATGCTAACATTTACATAAGAAAAACAAAGACGAAAAATGGAAGAAAAGGTGTTACCAGTTTATTATTTCAGACGTTAGCATGACTGATAGCTAATCAATGAACTCCACAAGCTGTTAGCAGCTAGCTGCTGTAAGCATTGGTGGGCTGACTGTGTTATAGCGCCACACAGTTCACTAGCTTTACTAGCACCTAGCTAACACCAGGTTTGAGGAGGGTGAAGAAACAGCCTAGTAGTTTCTGAATAACATCCCCAGCTCGACCGATTAGCCAGCAGGAAACTGTGGTTGTTAGTAGGATAACCACCAACAGGCTGATTTACTGTAATAAACAAGCTGTTAGCTTATAAGTTTGCTAACACGGGTACGGTTGCTAAGTTTCTTGTAGCATTCATTAGCAGCCTGGTGGATCAAATTTAAAAACAAAACCCGAGCAATGATGGCAAGCTGATCCCAAAGCTAATTAGCAGCATGTTGGTAAGCTAATTGGGCTTTTTCGATGCTTACTCACTGACTGTTGGTAACGGTTAGTCTAGCTAGCAAGTTACATTGTGTTAGCTAGATGACGACATATTGGATTAGCCAACTGTTTATAAGCTCTTTAAGGAATGAGGAAGACTTCCGGTTGGTCAAAAGATTTTAAAGTCATCCTGACTGTTGGTGTCGTGTCAGCAGGTGCTTTCACCCAGACTGCCACGACACAAGGCAGCAGGATCACGGTGGCTCAAGCAGGGTGATGCTGGGCTAAGCCCGTCCAGGGACCGATTTAGAGTGTTCTCATTGGCTGTTTAACACCCTGGTTACCTGGAGACTGTTTGACCTGACTTATGTTTTGGCTGCTGGAAGGCTAGAGACTGCTGGAAGCTCAACAAAAACAGCGTCAAGCGGGCTCTGAGGGTGGCAATGGCGGTGGACAGGATGTTGGTCCTGCAGGTTCGAGTGTTCAGGTGTTGTGAAGGAATGACGCAGCAAGTTTTAGTAAATCTCTTTGAAAAACAAAAATCCTTTGAATCTAACTCGGTACTGTTCATACACATAATCATTATTATCATCATCATCATCATCAGGTGTCCATGTTGGAGGTCTTGATTAGTTTCCCGTTGCTGCTTCCACTGGTTCCATTCAGGCCTCATCGCCTCAGAGTGGACGGGAAGAAGAATGAGGAGGAGGAGGAAGGGGAGTGGGGATGAAGGGGGTGAGCTGTTGAGGTCAGGGCTGCAGTCAGATTTCACTCCTTCCTGGGCTTCCTGCTCCTTGGAGATCTCCGCAGAACATCGTCCTCGAGCTTCTGCAGAGGAAACGAAGGCAAGATGACGAGTCAGTTTAAGTCAGAGAAGAAGCTCGATGTTACTCGCTCAAATCAAATCATCTGAAACAGACTGCACAGCCTCAGACGGAAAATTCGATTCAGTTTTATTCATACAGCGCCAAATCACAACAACCGTCACTTCAAGGCGTTTTATACTGTAAAAACCCTACAACAGGGGTGTCAAACATACGGCCTGTGGGCCACAGTCAGCCCAGGAAAGACTCCAGTCCTACGCAATGCGCAGCTTTGGAAAAATGAGGGTTTTAAATGTTTTGCAGCTTCACCTACTGATAAAGACCTCTCTCCACCCCCCCATGACCATTCATACTACAGCAAAGTAATTACGTAATAGATGATCAATGACATGACAGAAAAGCTGTGTTTACAATCTACTGTAGAAAATTCAGGGTTTTTTTCCCCCAAAATCTACAGGTTAAAATAGAAAAAGGCTATTTTCTGTTAACAAGAACCCCTTTATTAAAAAAAATTTTTTACACACCATTTAAAATGTAAATAATTTATTTACTACAGCAGCACCTGTTAATCATGTAGAAAAACTAAGAAATACTCATCAAATTGCTCCTCTTTTTCTAATATTCTGATATCTGACGGATTAAATGTGTAGTTAAACTTCTTTATAATAACACCTGTTTGGATCTCTCTCTCTCTCTCCCCCAAATATCGGGCAAATCAACTTGTGCGTAAAATGTTTTCAGCTGGGCGTCGTGTAAAGCCAGTTCTAACGTTTGAGTCTAAGGTTTATTTTGTGCACCTGACGGCTCTTTTTTGCGTCTCACCCGTAAACTCTCTTCACACACCGTCACATGATTCTTGTGTAGGTGGTAGAAGAGGTTTGTTGTGTTTGAGTCTGTGGTGGGGACTGGACTGCATTATACGGTTTCTGGTCAGTGTCAGACTTTTCATAACCAAACCATGTCCATGCTACAGGGGTAGCCCCTCGTTTAGGAATAAGGTCCTGGATTTGCTTTGACTGGTCTTTCTGTTTGTCATCATTTAGGTTTATTTGGACAAATCTCAACAGGATATTGAGCTTTATTGTGAAAAGTTTATGTGGAAAATAAACAAACGGACAGTGGAGCCACACGTTGGGTTTATCGTTATTGTTGCTAATGACAACAGGTAAAAACAGTTGCTTGTCTGTCCGTAGTGTGGTTATTTTAAATATAAGAGAACTTTATGAAATTAATATAGCCAATACAGTGACCCTCAAAACCATGAAACAAATATTGCAGTAAGCAGTTTATTTTGCCACACCATGAAACAAACAATAGTGTAATATGAAACGATAGACATTTTCATATCGCCATCCAATATATATACAGTGGGGCAAAAAAGTATTTAGTCAGCCACCGATTGTGCAAGTTCCCCCACTTAAAATGATGACAGAGGTCAGTAATTTGCACCAGAGGTACACTTCAACTGTGAGAGACAGAATGTGAAAAAAAAATCCATGAATCCACATGGTAGGATTTGTAAAGAATTTATTCGCAAATCAGGGTGGAAAATAAGTATTTGGTCAATAACAAAAATACAACTCAATACTTTGTAACATAACCTTTGTTGGCAATAACAGAGGTCAAACGTTTACTATAGGTCTTTACCAGGTTTGCACACACAGTAGCTGGTATTTTGGCCCATTCCTCCATGCAGATCTTCTCGAGAGCAGTGATGTTTTGGGGCTGTCGCCGAGCAACACGGACTTTCAACTCCCGCCACAGATTTTCTATGGGGTTGAGGTCTGGAGACTGGCTAGGCCACTCCAGGACTTTCAAATGCTTCTTACGGAGCCACTCCTTTGTTGCCCGGGCGGTGTGTTTTGGATCATTGTCATGTTGGAAGACCCAGCCTCGTTTCATCTTCAAAGTTCTCACTGATGGAAGGAGGTTTTGGCTCAAAATCTCACGATACATGGCCCCATTCATTCTGTCCTTAACACGGATCAGTCGTCCTGTCCCCTTGGCAGAAAAACAGCCCCATAGCATCATGTTTCCACCCCCATGCTTCACAGTAGGTATGGTGTTCTTGGGATGCAACTCAGTATTCTTCGTCCTCCAAACACGACGAGTTGAGTTTATACCAAAAAGTTCTACTTTGGTTTCATCTGACCACATGACATTCTCCCAATCCTCTGCTGTATCATCCATGTGCTCTCTGGCAAACTTCAGACGGGCCTGGACATGCACTGGCTTCAGCAGCGGAACACGTCTGGCACTGCGGGATTTGATTCCCTGCCGTTGTAGTGTGTTACTGATGGTGACCTTTGTTACTTTGGTCCCAGCTCTCTGCAGGTCATTCACCAGGTCCCCCCGTGTGGTTCTGGGATCTTTGCTCACCGTTCTCATGATCATTTTGACCCCACGGGATGAGATCTTGCGTGGAGCCCCAGATCGAGGGAGATTATCAGTGGTCTTGTATGTCTTCCATTTTCTGATGATTGCTCCCACAGTTGATTTTTTCACACCAAGCTGCTTGCCTATTGTAGATTCACTCTTCCCAGTCTGGTGCAGGTCTACAATACTTTTCCTGGTGTCCTTCGAAAGCTCTTTGGTCTTGGCCATGGCGGAGTTTGGAGTCTGACTGTTTGAGGCTGTGGACAGGTGTCTTTTATACAGATGATGAGTCCAAACAGGTGCCATTCATACAGGTAACGAGTGGGGGACAGAAAAGCTTCTTACAGAAGACGTTACAGGTCTGTGAGAGCCAGAGATTTTCCTTGTTTGAGCTGACCAAATACTTATTTTCCACCCTGATTTACGAATAAATTCTTTACAAATCCTACCATGTGGATTCATGGATTTTTTTTTCACATTCTGTCTCTCACAGTTGAAGTGTACCACAGGTGCAAATTACTGACCTCTGTCATCATTTTAAGTGGGGGAACTTGCACAATCGGTGGCTGACTAAATACTTTTTTGCCCCACTGTATATATCATTATATCGGACAGCCCTACGTCAAAGTGGGTTGTATGGAGTCCACAATGTAAAACCAGTCTGACATCCTTGCCCTATGACTATGCAGAGCAAAGCCAAAAATCAGAGGACCCCATCTGAGCAAGCACTTGGTAGCAATAGGAAGAAAAAACTCCCTTTTAATATGAAGACACGTCAGAATATGAAGTCACCAGACTCCGTGAGGGGCAGCCATCTGCTGAGGCTGGTCAGGGGTTTCAACTCTCCTGGAAAGCAGCAGATGTTACACCTGCAGCACATTTACAGCACTCTGCAGACTGAGCTATTCCCACATTTTTACTGAATTGAAGCTTTTTCAAGTTTTCTACATTTTATGTTTCAGACTCCTTCAAAACAAATCTGAGAAAATAAAATGAAATTAAAGTTTATCTTTGCAACAAGCTTTAAAGACCGGTGTGAAGACATTTAGAAAAACAAAAAACTTATTTTTCTTGTAAAATATAAATGACTAAAAATACAAAATGAACCTTCATTTATTTATTAATTTTTACATCTTTTCAAAAGTTAAAGGAGCTGAAAAGTCACGATTGAATCTGCTGTGATGAAACTTTGCCTCACCTCATCAGCTGTGTTCTCTTTTTCTTCATCCTCCTCTTCCTCTGCAGGTTCTTCATCTTCACTCTTTTCTGTGTCTGAAAAGCAAAGATGAATCAGATTAAGAAACAGCTGCAAACTCAAAAGAAACAAACAGATTCAATTTGAAGATCTCAGTAACCTGGGCTGCTCTTCTCAGCCTTCGGAGCCTCCTCGGCTTCCTCCTCCTCTTCCTCCTCCTCCTCCTTCACATCAGGCTGAGGTTCGTCGGTCTTCTTGTACTCTGCCGGCGACGCCGAACTCTTCTTCTGCAGAAGGAAACGAGTCAGTTCAAAGCGCTCCTGTGGTGGATGCTCATACTAAACAAAGTTTGTAATAATGAATTCACTGTATTTAAAATAATCCCCTGAGCTCAGTTTATCACAGTTTTTGATGTCATACAGACAGGATATCCCAGTTATGGTCACCTGAGAGGTTTGTGAGGGGCAGCCAATTAGAAGAAAGAGTGAGGTTTGCCAAATTTACATTACTTGTGGTGGTTTGCTAGTGATAGTTTTAAAATAGCATTATCTAAACTCTTGGGTAACATGCTGATCCTGGACCAGCGCTACGATGACGCAGGAACAGCAACACGATGATTTCAGGTTCCCTCAGCTGAGGATCTAAGACTGATACAAATACATAAAGGCACCGTCACATTTATGAATGGACGGTTTTACTTTTGCAGTCAAGTCACACTGCAGTTCACACCCGCAACAGTAATTTACTGTTATTACCAAACTGCCTTCTCCATGAACAAGCCAGCATGCCACAGTGGAAACAGCTGAGACGGCCAGATATGTGACATGTTCATAGGAAACAGGATTTATAGGCCAAAGTACTGGGTCACACCTCTTAACCTTTGAACTCAAACGTTCTCAGTCCTAGTCCTGCAGCACCTAGCCAGGCAGTCCAAACCTCCTCTGGCATTAACATCAGCACAGACAGTGTGTTGCCGGGAGCTTCGGTTTCCATGGCTGAGCAGCTGCTGCAGGTGTGACGTGAAGGTGGCCTGGGACTTTGGTCCATGTAGTGCAAGTTAAACAGCAGCACCGCCTTCTCAGATCCATCATTCACAAACACATCACTGCCTTTCACTCACGATTTTCGCCTACGTTTGATAAAGGGCGCCCTTTCAGACGAGCATTTTCAGAATGTGTTGGCCAATAGGAGAACAGAGTTGTGCCACCAGCAGGTCTGCTGCAAAGGATTTCACCTGATTTTCCAATATTCAGAACACCAACAAACCAATCATGAATTCTCAGTTATAATCAGTGTCAGAATTACAACCAATGAGTGACAAGGTTTAATGAAACACACAAAGACTGCACTGCAGCACCACAGACGCACACAAGCAGCACAAACACAACAACATGACATGAAGCTATGCTAGCAGCAGTATCAGTCACCGGGCCGGAGGAGGTGGTGGCAGCGCGGTTAGGGCATCCAGCGTCATTAAACTCTTTCTGCAAGCTGGTGAGACTCAAGTGACCCTGAGCTGATCCTGACGACCTCTGTGGACATTAATCAGTGCGATACAACTTAAACCATTAAATGAAACCTCTGGGTTTACAACGTGTGGGTTTGACAACAGGCAAGAGAGGATGCCCTGAGGATCAGACTGCAGGACGGACAGATTTTCTCATGTCCAATTAAAACCTTAAAACAATTATCAATAACAGTTAAAAATACAGCTTGAATTATAACAACAGTTTATATTGATTCATTTCCACCAATCACAAGAGTCCACCTGTGAGGAAATCCTCCACGACAGCATTACACTGAGCTGCCCTCTTATTCCTGACAGGGTCACCATAGCAGATGGATCTGTGTGGTTGATTTGGCACAGACTTCCATTGATCCGGGCCTGAGAACGGCACCAGGAGTATGCACGCTTGTGCCCCACAAGGCTGGGTTTGCAGCATCGAACTGTGGCTCTTTGAACTGCTGAATTTTAACTTTTAAATATCAAGTTTCATATTTTCACTACAGAAAGTCTGACAGTTAATAGGAGCTTCTCAGCTGACTGGGGCATAAACATAAAGTCATGCATTGTTACTACCAGCAGAATGTAAATGAATGAGTAACACAGTAACACTCAGTGGGGGAAAATGTCGAACTCTCCGTGCTCTGAAGAGGCAACAGCTTCACTTTTACTTCAAACAAGACAGAAACTCGACTTTCAAATGAGGAAACTTCAGTTTGATGCTGCAGAGGCGCAGACCCTGTGTGTGTCTGTGTTTTACCTTTCCAGTGCAGCAGAAGACAAAGATAAGGATGAGCGGCAGAGCCACGGTGAGCACGTAGACGACCCAGAGCCACGGACGCTCCTCTGCAGCACTTAGCATCTGAGCTGCCAGCCCAGGCTGCACGACCACAAAGGAGAGGGGGGGGGGGGGGGATTTAAAAACAAAACACACACATGAGGAAACATCACGGGGCTCCCGTTAACCCAGACTTCAATAAATCCACTTCACACATTTTTCCTTAAATGATCAGTAACAATATCAGAGTTGAACACCAAATCTCTCCCAGTCACGCTAATAAGTATGAAACGCATGTCTATTAAAGGATATCCACTAGCTCGGAGACATTTAGAGGGATCCTTTTATTTTTGATGACTTTGGCTAAGAGCTCATGAAACTCAGTAATCCGGTTTCTCAAATGATCAGAATATTTCCTAAAATGAATCAAATCTCCTCATGAGCCATAATCATCAAATTAACACAAAAGCAGACTTGATACATTTCACTTCATACTGAAAAATATATTAAAGTTAACCTTTCAGAATAAAATTATGGGAAAAGGATTTTGTCCTTAATATTCAATTGATTTGTGAAACATTAGTAAGGAAACGTAATTTTCTTTCAATTCTGTTGCTCAAAAATAAAATTTTAACGTGTTTGATGCTCCACCGTGAAGCTGCGCTGAGGTGTATGAGGTCACCCTGAGCATTTGAAACATGAGGCGGTGACTGTGTCACTTCACTTTTTAAACTTTAATCATGGCACACACTTGATTTTAAAAAAGGAAAAAAAAACTCCCAAAACAAATCACAGATCTGATTTATCCCAGAAGACTGAATTTAATCTGATCTAATAACATGGACCAACCTCAGCGGCGCCCTCTGCTGCCTTCTTCAGCCCCCAGCTATCAGATGCCCAGCGTTCGGCAGCGTTGCGGTCATTGGTGATGAAGAAGTTGTCAAAGAAGATGTCAGGGGTCATGGACCAGAGTTCAAGCCCCAGGGCGCTGAACGGTGACATCTTGTAGGGGTGAAGGTCCTCAAAGTACGCCGGGTTGGGGATCTTCCTCGGCTTCCAGACGCCCTGAAAACACGAAGGGTCGGAGGTGAGGAGAGCCTCCAAAAGACTCCACCCCTCCATCTAATGATCACCTCACACTGAAGTCAGACTCACCTGATAGTTGGGGTTATCAATCATGGGGGGCTTCCATTTGCCCTTGTAGTTGGGGTTGTCAATCATTGGCCGTTTCCAGGTGCCGCAGCCGGGGGCGGTCTCACAGGCGGGGTTAGGGATCTGAGGGGCCTCCCACTCTCCATCCATGTCCTCATCCCTGACAGGCACGAAGAGTACTCTGTTATCTTCTTTATACTGGAATACAGGTTTTACTGGGACTATTTTCAGCAGTGGATTAATCCACGGGCTTTGTCAGGAAAGCTGTTCACAGTGAAAAGAAAATCTGTACTCTGTTTGCTTTAGACATTTCTTTCCTTCCACCTGCTCCGGGCCGACAGGCAGGTGTAACTCACCAGTCTTCAGGTTTGATGGCGTCAGGGTCTCCGATATACTCGGGCTCATCGTCCAGCCAGCCGTCGGGTTTCACTGCAGATTCATCTGGAATCTGAGCCGGAGCGTCTTCATCCCTGCAAACACACAACAACCCAAGTCTGCTGTCACAGAGTGGCAAACATGGAAGCACCAAACCTGCAGTTCCTCTAACATCCAGCAGAGGCTCCAGCAGTGAGTCAGTCCCAATGACAGGTGGACTGTGACACAGGAGCTGCCTCCTAGGGTTCCCCTCAGCTAATTGGAGTCTGAACTGAACCTCTGCACGGTTTTTGTGCCTTTGGAGCATTTTTAATGACATCATCTGACCAATAATATAGCTGCTGTGAGGTCACTGTACTTAAAGGGAAACATGAAGTAAGCCTTTGATTTTTAAATAGACATGGATTGTGTTTTTAATACATTCTGAATCTGTTACTGAAGTGTACGGTAAGAAGCAGCACAATCTCCAGATTTTAACACTTTTCACACTTACGGAGGATTTACTTTATTTTCCCCCTTTTAAATAAATTGTAAATAAATAATTTTTCCCCTTTTTAAAACTTACTTAAAATTTTAAGATCTTCAATTCAGGAAAAGTAAACGATCTCAGAAATAACTGAGCAACATAATCAGCTGTGTCTCTCTGCCATCTTTAGCCGGTATTCCTCGTTCTGAACTAGATCGGACTGTCCACTTATAAATCGAGACTGACCCCGTGACGCTTTTACTGCAAACAGGTTTACTTCAGTTCCAGTCGTGCAGCTATGGCTCAGTTTGTTTTCTTTAGGTCAAACGCCTGGATGAAAGTTTGAGCAAACTAAAAATGAAACCCTTGTACTGACCAGTCCTCGGGTTTGACGGAGTCCGGGTCCTGGATCTTGGCCCTCTCATCCCAGTCCTCAGGTTTGTGGTCATCAGGGTCCTCGATCTCAGCGGTGGGGTTCACAGCGGGGGTCATGTCCGTCAGCAGGTTGCCGCTGTTCACGACCGTCTGATCCACCAACACCTCAAAGCTGTTGTCAGAGTTCACCACTGTTGGGGGCAACAGAGACAAGTTAGGCACTCAAAGAAAAAATAATAATCAAAGTCTGCAGTTCCTCTAACGTCCAGCAGAGGCCAGGGTCCACAGAATCCCTTGTTAACATTTACAGCAGAAATAAACACGTTTGCAGCCTGTGCGTCTCACCCAGCGTGTACAGGTGAGTCTTCTTGTCGGTGAAGTATGTCCTCAGGTCGGCGTCGGGTTTCTTAGCGTGTTTCTCTTCGTACTCTCCGGTTTTGGGGTTTTTGTGCCTGAAGATGAAGTGCAGCTTGTAGTCTTCTCCACATTTGTCGGGTCCAAACATGATAGTGTACGGAGTTTTATCCACAAACTGGTCCTGCAGACACACACGGACATGTTACAGTGCTTACCTGCCTCGTAGCCTGCAGGTGTTTTTATCAGTCACTTATTAGAGTGATCAATAAGAACATTTCATAGAAATATCATAGATTTGCCTCTTTGGCTCATGACAGGAAGATGAGTTAGTGAGTTAGATCACGAGTCGAACAACATTTAAAACCTTTTTAAGTCACTGTCCTGCTTTTCTTTTGGAAGCGGCATCATTAATAAACTGAATTAACGTGTGTGGGAATCGCACTGACCAGGTCGAGGTCGGGCGTCTCAGTCAGCAGCTTTACGTAGGCGCCACCGCAGTCGATACCCGACTGGAAGTTCACCTCATACCTGAACACAGACAGATCACACTGCTGATCAGTACCTTTCAGACTGAGAACACCTGGGTGTTCACACCCATCTACCAATCAGAGTTTCAAATGTGAATCAGACATCAAAGCTGTCCTTACTGGATGACAAGGGGCATGGTTTCAAAGGTGAAAGGTCGCAGCAGGTGGGCTGAGATGGCATGATGTTTGGCTCGAGACTTCAGGACCAGACCTTTGTCGCCAGGCAGCTTACTGTCCTTCATCTCCTCCACAGCCCATTTACCTGTTAACATCGTCATCATCATCATCATCATCAGAGACAAACACTAAAACAAGGCGGTAATCTTCGGTACAGTGGCCTTTTTAGGACATCCCAGGCTCAGCTGATGTAATATCTAATGTAAAAAACTGCTCATGCACGTCATCATGTACACAATGAGGTTACAGATGTGCACTCACCGTCGTACTTTGCGATTTCTTCGTCTGCGTCATCCTTCTTGGCGTTGGACAGAATCCACCTGAAACAGCACACAGAGGGTTACGACTCCGCCGGAGCTCTGAGGTTTACAGGTAGATGTACACGTGTGCACTGACTCCTCGGCAGCATTTTTCACAGATCAAACACCGAGGCTTTTCTTTGATGAAACTGATGATCAAATTAAACCATATGACTGTTTCACTAATCGATTGTCTTGATAACTGCTGGGAGAATAACTTCAGCTAATTGTTCTAAACTCTGGGCTGATCTGATAGGTTTAAATCAGCTAATGTTACAAACAAACCATCACTAGGTTACAGCAAGCTGGTTCTGCGCCAGTGAGGGGGTGTCCTTAAATCCTTAACTGACCAGTTGGCATGCATTAGTGTGATGCTAGCACGTGTAATAAGCTTTAAAGTAAGAAAAAGAAAACATGTAAGGGAAGGTTATGATTCATGCGTGTGTGGTGCTCACCCATCCAGTGTCCCCTTATCAAAAGACTCTGCAATGAAGTGTTCCCCCTTCGGCTCAGGAGCTTTGTAGGTCACCTGAGTGAAGAAATGAAAGTAAGTTATAACATCCTCATGTGCAGGTTAACCAACACATTTGTTTGGTTCGTCCTCGTCTTCCTATCTCAGATTGAGCTCAAAGCCTTTCAGGTGTGTTCACTTTACCTCAGCTCCACTCTGAATAACCAGTCAGACTGGAAGTGAAGCAAACATGATCAAAACTGTGGAAATGATTCACGAGCAGGTTTCTGTCTAAAACCTGCCGACTCCAGGAAAATTCACCCGTTAAATCATTAGACTGAATTATTCTGAGGTCCGACTCTTAGTCCGGTCTGTGTCTGTAGAGAGAATGCAGGTCAGTAGATCAGCAGGGCAGATCACTACTCTCTCATCAGACCCACTTCCTGACCTGATTGGTTAATGGGTAACAGACACTTCTGGGTTAAACATTCAAAACCTCAGAATGAGCCAAAATAAATGCTGAGAGCACAACAGTTATAATCCTCACAGGTAAAAACTTCAATAGAGTTAACTTTATTCATACAACCAAAAACTTAGACAAACAATTTGAAAAGCTTTCAGAAAAACAAGAAACAAGTAACTTTTTAAAAACCTTTTTAACACGTCGGTAAATAAAAATGAAGACGTCACTGATGCATCATATTTGACTTTAGGAACTGATGGAAAATCTGGACCTGGAGATGGTTTCTGGCTGATTTAGTTTGGTGCCCCCTAGTGTGCAGACCCATGTAACTACAGCTTCTACTGAAAATAAACTTTAACGACTTTATGAAACTAAAAAAAAAAAAAAGAAAAAAAAAAAAAAAAAAAAAGATTTTCCACCAAACTATTTTTTTAAATTAATAATAAAATAAAAATAAATAAAGCTGTCTTACCTGTGGACTGGGAGGGGTTTTAGGAGCAGGTGGAGCTTCATCTTGCACGTCGTCCTCCAGATCCTCGTCCTCAGCCAAGCTCAGGTCCATTTCGTCCTCCACGTCGGCATCGTCGCCATCCAGACCGTCTTCGACCAGATCGTCAGCCCGAGAGACGGGGCCTAAACTGAGGCAGAGGAGGCCCGCCGCCAGGAGAACAAACAAACCGACCCGCTGATTCATAGTCTGCACAGAGAGGAGCAGAAAACCCGTCACATCTGGAGAGCAAGCAGGGCCGGGCCAAAAACCAGTGATCTTAGTTATACAGAGATTTCTCTCATTTTATTGTTTTTATTTTAAATTTTATAAACAACAACAAAAATCGACACAGTCGTGTTCCCCCATCATTAACAGACTGCCAACCTGTGTTTCATCTATCACCATGGTGACCAACCACAGAGCGCCCACAGGACGTGCTCCTCGGCTCCTTTTAACCCTAATGAGATTACACCCCGAGGGATTACAGCAGCACCCCGGTACAAGCAGAAATGCACACGCACACACACTACCTTAGCTGTTTTACGGGTTATTTAACATGAGATGGTGTGTCATGACTGACTTCCTGTCGTCTTTCAGTGCAGCAATGCCGTGATTACACAACTAACGTTAAGCTGCTGTGTTCAGTGACCATCAGAATAATCAGGCCCAAAAAGGTTCTGTGTTCCTGAACCACATCAAACAACAAAAATTAAGACTTTACAACATCAGCAGGTAAAAATCTGGCAAAAAGATTTGTCTCATCAGGGCTCAGCAACCCCAACTGCTACTTGGGTTTACAGTTGTTCTTACATTGATGCTTGCCACTAATGACAGTAAAAGAATTTTAGCCTGACAAGAAAGTGATAAAGATAATCAGGGACATCGCCACTTACACTGGAAAAAAGTAAAACCAATACTCGGAACGTCTGATAAAATCACTGACGGCCGAGCTTGGTCTCCTAAACTAAACAAGCTCACTGAAATCAGTCAGCAGAAGCTGTAGCCTGCCTTCTTAAAGCTACAAATATAATCACACTACATATACACTCTGTGTATACATACATACATACTCTGTAATTCAAATATTTGCAGAAGAAGAATGTGTGCAGACGCCCAAACAGAGAACCTAAATCTGGAGGAAACCAGGGAATGATGGATCTGGAGTTGATTTTGCATCTGATAGATATTAATGGAAGTGGTGCAGTGCAGGTGCAGCCACAGGCGGAGCAGTCTCAAGTAGTGATAAGACTGGTGATGTATTTAAATGAGAAAGAAAATTTAGACTGGCTGACTAATCTAAAGACAAAGTTCTCCATCATTCATCATCCTCCGTTAAATCTGAGGAGGATAAGATTCATGATCCAGATCACCACATGACAGGAAGTGCAAAACCTTCTGACCTCAAGTGTCTCTATTAATATTTATTCCAGCAGATTTGTCTCATCTGAGCTGATTCTAAAAGGTAATCAAATTACCGATCAGTCTGATTGGTGCCAAGTAAAAACAAAACAATCTGGTCACATGACAGGAAGTGTATTAAGATTAAGAAAGGCAAGAAAAGTGGATCCTGAAGTTAAGCACATCTCACTCAGCAGACTGCCAGCTAATCAGATTAGCCTTTCAGACAGATTAACATACGTGCCAGCACTAGTCGTTAGCTTAGCATCAAAGGCGTTTTGTGGGGTCTGAAGGAGCCCGAACTTTAAAACATTTCTGTCCTTAATTCTAGTCAGGTTAGTTTTGTTTCTGTGCACGGGAGGGTCATCTGCCAGGCTGTCACTTAAATGTGTAAAATGGATATGCATACACCTTACTTTCCAAAATAAAAGGACAAAAATTTTACTTTAAGCCTTTCTTTCGGTTCCCTGCTGCACAAACAATGCTGAACTTCACTGGTGAGTTCACAAACTCACACTGCAGTTTTCCAGCTGCCTGTGGGCAGTAATAAGCTCTTAGGTGGCCTCTGATTGGCTGATAAAACAGCAGCTTACAATCCTAATCAGCTGAGTGAAACCAGCTGAAGTGGCTGTTATCCACCCAGACTGAAGGCTCCAGTTGACATTAGTAACTTAATCTGATCTCAGAGCTGAAGGACATCTGCTGCTCCTCACACCTACCAGTTTCTAATAATTCATCAATAATGCCACGAATTACAGAAATGTGTCAGCTTTTTCTACTCTTGGGTTTTTGTGATGTTATTAGATGGCGACATCTGCATTCAGTCATCTCAGTTGCACTGAGGCCCGGTGTCACATAAATAAGGAACTGTGAATCATGCAAAGCTGCTCTAACAGAACAAACGGTGGAGCTCAAGACTGATGCAGGTGTTCAGGTTGTGTACAGTTAAACAGCATGTGTCAGTTAAATTGTACCCAAACCGGATGGACTGGTTAGCATTTAGGCTGAACAATGAACCCGAAAAACTGAATAAATCAAGAACAAGCCCAACTCACTCAGTCTGTGGTCGTGACTTCAAAAAACAGTTTGAATTAACGTTATGATGCGTTTTGAAAACCAGAGAGCAGAAATAAGATTAAAATCCCAAATCCTGTTACTGCCGTGTCTGAATTTAAACGTGGTCAAGTTGTTTTGGCTCAATTTGTTTCTAATTTATGATTTTTTTTCCCCCCTGTGACACACTGTGCAGGGTGTACACCACTGGGATAGGCAGAAGCCCCACTACGAAGTGGATATGCAGAAGAGAATGGAATTATTTATGTTCTGTTAAGGATCAGTGATAAGGTTTTTATTTGTCAGGTAATTTTATCAATTAAAGAGTCACTGCGTGTAAGCCCTCATATTCTCACCAAAGATTGCCCCTGTAATCTAAGCGAGATGATGAGATGATCATATATTCCTTCAGTAAGCAAGCATGCATATGATACTTTTAAATGTGGGAACAGAAACCATCGCAGATTATGCGCCTAACAGATCTCGGGCCAGTTCGCTTTGTTCTTGCTAACTTAAGACAGACTAACTACTCAGACAATTCTTGTACCCTTTCATTTTTTCACAGTCTTGTTTAAAGAAAAAAAAAATCTACAGAGAGACTGATGTCTTTGCAGCTGCCCTTACAGTGATGTTGATCTACAGGAAGTAAAAGTCAAAGATTTCTGCAGATTAACATGCCTATATCGCCACCTGCAGACATCCTGGAGTAAACGCTACGGACAGCGGCCCTTTGAGCCAGATGTTACAATGAAAAACAGCTACTAACTTATACCAGACAGCCCAGTGTTTCCCTTTTTAATATTAACATTCTGATCTTACTTTACATATACACCTGAAAAAAGCAGAGAAAATAATTATAGCTCGGTAAGCATCAAATGTTTAGTTAATGAAGAAATGTCTTAAAACAATCCAGATGTTAATCCTGATCAATGTGATCGTGATCATTTCACAATCATGGAGCAATTCAACTTTAACATAAGACTGAGCTTTACAGCATCACCGTTTTGGTTTTTTGAACCCAGGTGTGATCTGAGAGGGGTGGATATGACAGTAAGCTGTCAATGATGAAGGAGCACCGCCCATAGTCCCCCCCAACTTCCTAGGGTTCTTTCGGACCATAAAAAAATATACTTTTGGCTACTCAGTTACCCCACAGGTAACGGGAAATTAACCAGCAACCTTTCGTTTGCAAACGTGTAAATGACACCAAACATCATGCTTAACTCAGTATCGAGCTCTGGTTTTACTTTAAAATGAGAGGAGTCGCCCCCTACTGGTAATTCTAAGTCATACTGGTAAAAACCTGTGCTTAATACCGCCTAGGATCAGCTCATTTCCATCCACTTTTTCACCGTGATAGTCTGCCAAGTTCGACCACAATGGTCACTGAATCTGCAGTGTCTACCTCTAATGATGCTAACACACCTGTGACAGCGGACAGGTGAATGGAGGTCAGTCATGAAAGCGCGTAGCTTAAACTTTGTTTTCATACACCCATTTTTTTTTGCCAGCCTCCTGCAGGCTTTGCTACCCGGATCCTAAAGCCTTCTCTGGACAGTTTAACAGCTGATCCTAAACCCTTCAAAGACCCTAAAAAACACCGCCCACCTCCTCCAGATCCCTGCTTAGCCCAATGTTAGTTAGCATAGCACCTTACGGAACACCCGACTTTGAATGAAGCAGTCGGACCAATTTTAGTTTCGCTGTGAGAAAAAACCCGACTGTAATGCATGTTAATCAAACCAGATCACCGGGACAAGACTCGGGTTTAAGGTTTATTAACCGCTAACGGAGGCCACGGCAGCGGGCTAACGGCTAGCTGGGTTCACCTGCGGTTAATTAGCCATCAGCCCGGTGCTAACTACCCGCAGGAGCCGCGGAGAGGAGATTTAACGGATAGAAACCGACAGCATGTAAATAACTACAGCCCGGGCGACGTGAACGGAACACCACCTGTCAGAAAACAGTTGTATTCGGCTGAGCTACCCTTTAAAATTCTCATTTATTGGCGTTTTCGCTCACCTCAAGCTCACCCGTGCGCCGCCTGGGAACTACTGAGGAGGATCACGTGGGGTCCTGGAGGGCACTAACCGCCTTCCCCCGTCGCCGATTGGTTATCCAGCGCGTAACTTTGACGTTTCCTGTCAACTGTCAGGAGCTGATTGGTCAACAGAAACTCTCGCTCGACCCGCCCATATGGAGCTGCACCTCGTGGACAGCGATGATTGGCTGAGCTGCCAGGGGAAGTGTGCCCTCATTGGCTGCAGTCATGCTTATGAAAAGGCTTAAGAATTCGGGATGAGATTGAAACTGATTTTTGTAGATTTTGATTAATAAACTGATTTAATTCGGTTCTAACCTATTAAAGACATGAAACCGGTCATTATTTCGCATATTTGCTTTATTGGATAAAACATTCTGAATTTCCAAAGCTATTTATTTAATAACTTAGTTTAATTATGACTTTTTTTTAAAATTTATGCTAACTGTAACCAAATCATACAGTCTCTGGGGAACAGTTTTATTCAGAGCAGAAACAAAGGTCAAATGTATTGTAAAAAGTATTTATTACATGTATTTCTAATCTAACAGCACCTGAAATACACATTTGGTACACAAATATGAGATAAAAAAAAAAGTTACCTTTACTTTAATGAGAAACAAAAATGAATTTTCAACTGTTTTTGTGCACACAGTAAACATGCACACCGGTCTGCACTAAAAGACTGTTTGATAAAGTCTGGGGGGGGGGGGGGGGGGGGGGGAAGCATGTGTGTGTTGTTTACCTGGGAAATCACAATTTAAATGCGTGTGTAGTTTCTGTGTTTGAGGGTCCCTTGATCTGTGAAGTGGTGTTGTTGTTAGTGTGATCATCACACAAACAACAGCCAATCAAGGCATGCTGACATAGCTTTGATTAACAGTTGACAACTGAGCGGGCTCAGCTTCTTCTTTGATGCTAAAGCGAGACCTCCAGGCCTGAAAAATTAGTCCAGCTCTGAAGAGCTGGACTAATTTCAAACCCCACAAGGCTGCCCGCTGGGATTGAAGTGATGGGACGAGGCGTGAGTTTCTCAAAATGGGCTCATTGAGTGCAGCATGGAGAAGATCTTGGAGAACGCACGGCTGCCGTGAATACTCAGAACAAGACCTCTGAGTGAAAAACTGGATTACATCTGGAGGGGCTAGCTCAAATAACACCTTTGAGCGCAAATACGATCACATCTTGGGGAAGTGCACTGCGGTCGTGAGTTCTCAGAACCTGCTCTTTGAGCAAAAAGAATGACAACATCACGGAACCTAAGTTTGGATAACACCATAGAAAGCTCACGGCTCTCCAACGGGAGATTGAGAGACCAGTGTTGGACTGTTAGAACAGCTTTGAAATTCATATGAGTTGTTCGCACTAAAGTAAAAAGCACCATCACTTAATGCGGATACCCTCTCGGCGCCAGCTGCGGTCGCAAGGCTGGAGCTGAACAAAAAACACCCGGATAACGACTGTGTTTAGACTGTTCCTTCCCATTCCATGCAAGGCCACCTGGGTTGGCTGGAAGACTGTATACTTAGCCTGGCAGGGCGAAGGACACTGTCTCAGCTGAACTCTGGACACACACACACATACATATACACTGATATGCACACACTCATCCTAGAGCTGGGCGATATGAGATTTTTTCATATCACGATATGTTTTTTTCATTTCAGGCGATAACGATATCTATCACGATATAAGCCAAATAACTATATTTGTAAGATTTAAATGTGCCGTTGCTCACAAGTAAAATGTGAAATAATCAGCAGCTTGTTTTTATTTAAATATTTATTTCCCATAATAAGTTCAACAGGGTAGATGTACTTAAGGAACATGAGACTTTTTCAGATAAATAAAGGCAAATATTGCAAACTACACAAAAGGCAGCCGCTAAAGCGTTTAAGTTTCAAAATAGAACAAACGAAACAGACTAATTTGTCAATTCCACTTAGAAACAAAATATTAATTCTAAAAATAAATCTTAGTTTGTTTTACAGAATAACAGACAAAACTGACTAACTTTTGTCAATATCAAATAAACTGAGAACTAAAAGGAAATTCTCAATCTCTCCTTGTTGTATAGCTGAGCTTTTCAAACAGTTTTAACAGTTACTTTAGTCTGACAAAAGCCGAATGACGAATTAGCGCTTCCAGTCAGACACTGAAGCTACGTCCACACGTACACGGGTATTTTTGAAAACGGAGATTTTCCGTTTTCGTTTTAAAAAATAATCCCGTCCACACATAAAGGCAGAAATGAAGAAAAACGCTGCTAGGAACATGCCAAAGCAGCAGGTGGCGCTAGATTCCTAACCGTGCAGAAATGTTGGCCAATCAGAAGTCTAGAAGCCTCGGTGGGAAAAAGTAAACAAAGCTGGGGCATAGAAGCAGAACCGAGTCGTATGTGTGGACGGACAGTAACTGTGTGTATATGTAAGCATTTAAACACTGCAGAGAGTAGAATTAACAGTATTGTAGAAATTCATTTCACCGAAACAATAACTTGGCGCAGTGTGACGCATGCACCAGTTTATTGTATTTCCAGACTTGCTTTCGGCACAATTTACAGTGCACGCTACTCTGTTTTTTGTCAGACTTGAAATAGCCGAAATACCTTCACACTACGGAGCTTCTATGGCTCTTCCGTTCGACAATCTCTCCGGCATTGGAACCATCATCTGTTTTCTCTTCGGTCACGCTCGGTTGATTTTTCTAGTCGGCACACTCATTTCCTCCATTACACGCTGGCTCCATTACCCGCTGGCTGCTTCCCAAACAAACACACGTGCGGCTTGGCACTTGTGCTGTACGTAACAAGTCACGCGACGTGACGCTGCGGCTGTGATTGGTTCGGCTCTGCGCTACTTAGTTTGGATTGGCTGACCTTTTTTTTTTTTTTTTTAAGAGGACAAGAGCGGCGAGGTCTATCGCGATAGCTTAATTTCTCTATCGAGTAAAAGTTATATCGCGATACATATCGTTATGTTCTATCGCCCAGCTCTAACTCATCCCCTCTCCCTTTCCAAACGCCTTCGACGCTTATTCCCTTCCGATGCTGATGGTGGATCAAGGAGACCAGCGCACAGGCTGCAGGCCCGGATGGACTGTCTACATTAGCTGTCTCTCACCCTTTATCCACCCCTGTTGCTTGTCATGTGTTTCTTTGGTGTATTAAGAGTTTTTTTTTCATGTGCTCTTATGTGCAGAGGTGTCTTTTTCTGTTCTCAAACTGATCTCCCTGTTGGAGCTCAGTCTGGGGGGAGTTATTTTTGTCTCCTTATCTTTCCTCATGTGGTGCATTTTCAATTGTTATACCTCTCTGACCTGTCTTCCCCATGTGATGTTTTGTGAAATGTATGTATGGTCGGAGGGTAAGATGGCGCCGCCATTGTGTGCAATAGGTCGGCAGCCTTATGAAATTTCCACTTGTGGGACTAATAAAGGTATATCAATCAATCAATCAAGATCCTCTAACATCTACCTAAGGCTCCAGTAGTGAGTCAGCTAATTGGAGTCTCTGAACTGGACCCGTGGACTGTGTTTGTACTGTTTGAGCCTTTTAGAATATTTTTAATGCAATCATCTAATATGGCTGCTTTGTGGTAAATTGAATAAACAGACCATCCAACAGGTCTGAGCTCCAGTATTGCTGAGTGAAACTCCAGGATTTTAACTGGATGTTATTGTGCCCTAATTAGCAGCGACTGAATAAACATAAATCACATAAGACTGATTCTTTATAAAGCTTCTTTGGGCTGTTCCCTTATTCACCAGGGGTCGCCACAGCAAATAGATCGGCATGCTTGATTTTGTCAGGTTTTCAGATCAGATGACCTTCCAGCTGTCCCCAGAGATTTGGGTGACCTCCTGGACTTGAAAAGGGATCTTCTGTGTATTAGCTGAAGGTGTTAATCCCTACACTATGGAGCCACAGATAGTGATGCTTTATCATCGAAGAAAATGTTCTGATGCTTGACTCTGTGTCAGAGCAGAGCTCTAAGAATCATGTGATCTTCCTGCATGTGACCGCCACACCACATGGTGCCGTTACCCATCCATCCATTCGCTTCCGCTTATCCTTTTCAGGGTCGCGGGGGGCGCTGGAGCCTATCCCAGCTGTCATAGGGCGAGAGGCGGGGTACACCCTGGACAGGTCACCAGTCTGTCGCAGGGCCAACACACAGGGACAGACAACCATTCGCACTCACTTTCATTCACACATTCACACCTAGTGACAATTTGGATTATTCAATTAACCTATCCCCACAAGCTGCATGTCTTTGGACGGTGGGAGGAAGCCGGAGTACCCGGAGAGAACCCACGCAAACACGGGGAGAACATGCAAACTCCACACAGAAAGGCACCGGCCTGATGTTGGAATTGAACTCAGGACCTTCTTGCTGTGCGGCAACAGTGCTAACCACCGTGCCGGTGCCGTTACCCTTCTAAACCAAAACTCAGTTCTCTTCCAGAGCTGGTTGTTAAAGGTACCCATCCACCTGCTGAATTATTTGTGACTTTTAAAGTGATCGTAATTAAAAGAGTTAATTTCTTTAGTGTCTTCATAAGACCCTTATGAAAAGGACATCGAGGGAACAGTTTACCCTGCCCGGGATAGGGTTACCGGGGCCCCGCCCTGGAGCCAGGCCCGGGGAGGGTGCCCGAGGGCGAGCGTCTGGTGGCCGGGCCTTAGTCCATGGGGCCCGGCCGGGCACAGCCCGAAGAGGAGACATGGGCCCATCCTCCCGCAGGCCCACCACCCGCAGGAGGCGCCATAGGGGTCGGGTGCATTGTGTGCCGGGTGGCGGCCAGGAGCGGAGGCCCTGGCGGACTGACCCCCGGCTGCCAAGACTGGCAATAGGGACATGGAATGTCACCTCTCTGGTGGGGAAGGAGCCCGAGTTAGTGCGTGAGGTTGAGAGGTACCGGCTAGATATAGTCGGGCTCACCTCTACACATGGCTTGGGCTCTGGAACCAGTCTCCTGGAGAGGGGCTGGACTCTGTCTCAGTCTGGAGTTGCCCCTGGTGAGAGGCGGCGGGCTGGGGTGGGTATCCTAATATCCCCTCGGCTTGCTGCCGGTACGTTGG